ACACATAAGCATGAAATGAAAACAACATGAAATGAAAGAACTAAATACACATAAGCATGAATGATATGAACGAAATTTGGTTTCGATACCGTACTGTCATTTGATGAAGAAGAAACGGGAGAATGAACTGATTGACGTAGAAGAAGTGGGAGATGGGTTTTTTCTGATTTTGATATGCTCAGTATAAAAACGGCGTCGTTTTATTTGAGATTTTTTTTAAAAAAAAATTTTAAATATGCCTCAAAAACAGTGGCCATTTATTAAACCGCATATGGTGCGGTGACCGCCTTACCGCATAGGAGCCAGACCCAAAACTCTTCTCTACCTCAAATGGTCCATCTGGACCAAAACAGATGTAGGAAGAAAACTAAAAAAGAAGACGGAAAGATAGATAGATAGATTTCTAGAGAGAAGAGGAAAGANGAAATTTGGTTTCGATACCGTACTGTCATTTGATGAAGAAGAAACGGGAGAATGAATTGATTGACGAAGAAGAAGTGGGAGATGGGTTTTTTCTGATTTTGATATGCTCAGTATAAAAACGGCGTCGTTTTATTCGAGATATTTTAAAAAAAAAAAATTTTAAATATGCCTCAAAAACAGTGGCGATTTATTGAACCGCATATTGTGCGGTGACCGCCTTACCGCATAGGAGCCAGACCCAAAACTCTTCTCTATCTCGAATGGTCCATCCGGACCAAAACAGATGTAGGAAGAAAACTAAAAAAGAAGAGGGAAAGATAGATAGATAGATTTCTAGAGAGAAGAGGAAAGAAAGATGTCTTCTAATGCCCTTCAACCACATACCACTTCTCCCAAATTCTCCTATCTCTTCTTCCATATGGGCTTATTTCGGTTTCTCACAATCATTCAAAGCTTCAAAAGAGAGAAAGAAAGAGAATACACAACATCCAAAACTCTATTTACTTTTCACTCTTAATATTTATACCCGTTTACTCTCTCTCTCTCTCTCACAACATAGATTCCTATATATTAAAGCTTAAATTTTCTTTTCGATTTGCGTCTGAGCTACATTGTAGAATCATTGATNAGAAAGAAAGAGAATACACAACATCCAAAACTCTATTTACTTTTCACTCTTAATATTTATACCCGTTTACTCTCTCTCTCTCTCTCTCTCTCACACCATAGATTCCTATATATTAAAGCTTAAATTTTCTTTTCGATTTGCGTCTGAGCTACATTGTAGAATCATTGATTTTTTTTTTTGGTGGGAATGAGAGATTGAAGAAGATGATGAAAACGGCTTCTGCGGATTTTCGTCAATCTTGTGTTGTTGATGAAGAGGCTAGGGCTAGACTCAAACATCAAACCTTATTACAAGAATTCCTTCAATTGCAGAAGGTTAGTTTTTTTCCTTTTTCTTTCTATATTTTATTTTTTTCCTTTTGGCTAAGTTTTTTTATGTTATTGATAAATCTNATGAAGAGGCTAGGGCTAGACTCAAACATCAAACCTTATTACAAGAATTCCTTCAACTGCAGAAGGTTAGTTTTTTTTCTTTTTCTTTCTATATTTTATTTTTTCCTTTTGGCTAAGTTTTTTTATGTTATTGATAAATATGTATTATCTACAAATTATGTGTTCTTTTTTTTCTTTGGGCCCATTGTTTCCCTCTTTTTTTATAGGATGTAGGGTTTAAAATTTGTTGTAACAAATCTAATTTTTTTCCAAAATTTAGAGAACAAAAATGCTAAACAAGCAGGTTTTGGGTATTTTTGAAATTTTGAGAACAAAAAACTGTTTTGCAGAAGCTAACCAAACACGCCCTTATTATTTCATGTTCCACACATAATATATGTCTTGTCCTAAACTTAAAAACTTAAAAACGAAATAATGACAATTGAAAATATACACATAAGCATGAATAACATGAACGAAATTTGGTTTCGATACCGTACCGTTATTTGATGAAGAAGAAACGGGAGAATGAACTGAATGACGAAGAAGAAGCCGGAGATGGGTTTTTTTTCTGATTTTGATATGCTCAATATAAAACCAGCTTCTTTTTTTCAGTTTTTTTTTTTCAAAAAAAAAATGAAAGAGGGCTAAAAAACAGTGGCGATTTATTAAACCGCATATGGTGCGGTTACTGCCTTACCGCAAAGGAGCCGAACCCAAAACTCTCCTCTATCTCTAATGGCCCATTTGGACCAAAATAGATGTAGGAAGGAAACTAAAAAAGAAGACGGAAAGATAGATAGATAGATTTCTAGAGAGAAGAGGAAAGAAAGATGTCTTCTAATGTCCTTCAACCACATACCACTTCTCCCAAATTCCCCTATCTCTTCTTCCATATGGGCTTATTTCGGTTTCTCACAATCATTCAAAGCTTCCAAAGAGAGAAAGAAAAAGAATAAACAACATCCAAAACTATATTTACTTTTCACTCTTTATATTTATACCCGTTTACTCTCTCTCTCTCTCTCTCCAAAGATTCCTATATATTAAAGCCTAAACTTACTTTTCGATCTGCATCTGTGCTGTATTTTAGTATCATTGATTTTTTTTTTGGTGGGTATGAGAGATTGAAGAAGAAGATGCAAAGGGCTTCTACGAATTTTCGTCAATCTTGTGTTGTTGATGAAGAGGCTAGGGCTAGACTCAAACATCAAACCTTATTACAAGATTTTCTTCAATTGCAGAAGGTTAGTTTTTTTTTTCTTTTTTTCTTTCTATATTTTATTTTTTCCTTTTGGCTAATTTTTTATATGTTATTGATAAATCTATATTATCTGCAAATTATGTGTTCTTTTTTTTTTCTTTGGGCCTTTTGTTTCTCTCTTTTTTTTTTTATGGGATGTAGGGTTTAAAATTTGTTGTAACAAATAACATTTTTTCCCAAAATTAAGAGAACAAAAATGCTAAACAAACAGGTTTTGGGTGTTTTTGAAATTTTGAGAATAAAAAACTGTTTTGCAGAAGCTAGCCAAACACGCACTTAATATTTCAAGTTCCATACATAATATATGTGTTGACCTAAAATTAAAAACTTAAAAACGAAATAATGAAAATATACACATAAGAATGAAATGAAAGAAATAAATACACATAAGCATGAATGATATGAACAAAATTTGGTTTGGATACCTTACCGTCATGTGATGAAGAAGAAGCGGGAGAATGAACTGGGTCTGACGAAGGAGGGAGAATGAACTGATTGACGAAGAAGAAGCGGGAGATGAGTTTTTTCTGATTTTGATATGCTCAGTATAAAAACGACGTCGTTTTTTTCCAATTTTTTTTTTTAAAAAAAAAATTTGAAATAGGCCTAAAAAATAGTGGTGATTTATTAAATCACATATGGTGCGGTGACCGCCTTGCCGCATAGGAGCCGGACCTAAAACTCTCCTCTATCTCTAATGGCTCATCTATACCAAAACAGATGTAGGAAGAAAACTAAAGAAGAAGATGAAAAGATAGATAGATAGATTTCTAGAGAGAAGGGGAAAAAAAGATGTCTTCCAATGCCCTTCAACCACATACCACTTCTCCCAAATTCCCCTATCTCTTCTTCCAGATTGGGTTATTTCGGTTTCTAACAATCATTCAAAACTTCCAAAGAGAGAAAGAGAGAGAATACACAACATCCAAAACTCTATTTACTTTTCACTCTTTATATTTATACCCGTTTACTCTCTCTCTCTCTCTCTCTCTCACCATAGATTCTATATATCAAAGATTAAACTTTCTTTTTGATCTACGTCTGAGTTGTATTGCCGAATCGTTGATTTTTTTTTTGGTGGGTATAAGAGATTGAAGAAGATGATGAAAAGAGCTTCTGCGGATTTTCGTCAATCTTGTGTTGTTTATGAAGACGCTAGGGCTAGCCTCAAACATCAAACCGTATTACAAGATTTCGTTCAATTGCAGAAGGTTAGTTTTTTTTCTTTTTCTTTCTATATTTTATTTTTTCCTTTTGAATAATTTTTTATATGTTATTGATAAATCTGTATTATTTGCAAATTTTGTGTTCTTTTTTTTCTTTGGGCCATTTGTTTCCCTCTTTTTTTTATAGGATGTAGGGTTTAAAATTTGTTGTAACAAATCTCATTTTTTTTCTTCCAAATTTAGGGAACAAAAATGCTAAACAAACAAGTTTTGGGTGTTTTTGAAATTTTGAGAACAAAAAACTGTTTAGCAGAAGTTAACCAAACACGCCCTTATTATTTCATGTTCCACACATAATATATGTCTTGTCCTAAACTTAAAACTTAAAAACGAAATAATGAAAATTGAAAATAAACACATGAGCATGAAATAAAAACAACAAGAAATGAAAGAACTAAATACGCATAAGCATAAAAGATATGAAATAAATTTGGTTTCGATACCGTACCGTCATTTGATGGAGAAGAAACGGGAGAATGAACTGATTGAAGAAGAAGAAGAGGGAGATGGGTTTTTTCTGATTTTGATATGCTCAGTACAAAACCGGCGTCGTTTTTCTTTTAGTTTTTTTTTTTTAAAAAAAAAAGAAATTGAAATTGGCCTAAAAAACAGTGGCGATTTATTAAACCGCATATGGTGCGATGACCGCCTTACCGCATAGGAGCTGGACCCAAAACTCTCCTCTATCTCTAACGGCTCATCTGGACCAAAACAGATGCAGGAAGAAAACTAAAAAAGAAGCGGGAAAGATAGATAGATAGATTTCTAGAGAGAAGAGGAAAAAAAGATGTCTTCTAATGTTCTTCAACCACATACCACTTCCCCCAAATTCCCCTATCTCATCTTCCATATGGGCTTATTTCGGTTTCTCACAATCATTCAAAGCTTCCAAAGAGAGAAAGAGACAAATACACAACATCCAAAACTATATTTACTTTTCACTCTTTATATTTATACCCATTTACTCTTTCTCTCTCTCACCATAGATTCCTAAATATTAAAGCCTAAACTTTCTTTTCAATCTGCATCTGAGCTGTATTGTAGAATCCTTGATTTTTTTTGGTGGGTATGAGAGATTGAAGAAGAAGATGAAAAGAGCTTCTGCGGATATTCGTCAATCTTGTGCTGTTTATGAAGAGGCTAGGGCTAGCCTCAAACATCAAACCTTATTAAAAGATTTCCTTCAATTGCAGAAGGTTAGTTTTTTTTTCTTTTTCTTTCTAATTTTATTTTTTCCTTTTGGCTAATTTTTTTTATGTTATTGATAAATCTGTATTATCTGCAAATTATGTGTTCTTTTTTTCTTTGGGCCTTCTGTTTCCCTCTTTTTTATAGGATGTAGGGTTTAAAATTTGTTGTAACAAATCTCATTTTTTTTCCAAAATTTATAGAACAAAAATGCTAAACAAACATGTTTTGGGTGTTTTTAGAATTTTAAGAACAAAAAACAGTTTTGCAGAAGCTAACCAAACACGCCCTTATTATTTCATGTTCCACACATAATATGTCTTGTCCTAAACTTAAAAACTTTAAAACGAAATAATGAAAAATGAAAATATACATGAGGATGAAATAAAAACAACAAGAAATGAAAGAACTAAATACGCATAAGCATGAATGATATGAACGAAATTTGGTTTCGATACCGTACCGTCATTTGATGAAGAAGAAACGGGAGAATGAACTGATTGACGAAGAAGAAGCGGGAGATGGGTTTTTTCTGATTTTGATATGCTAAGTACAAAATCGGCGTCCTTTTTTTTTAGTTTTTTTTTTAAAAAAAAGAAATTGAAATTGGCCTAAAAACAGTGGTGATTTATTAAACCGCATATGTTGCGGGGACCGCCTTACCGCATAGGAGCCGGACCCAAAACTCTCCTCTATCTCTAACGGCCCATCTGGACCAAAATAGATGTAGGAAGAAAACTAAAAAAGAAGCGGGAAAGATAGATAGATAGATTTCTAAAGAGAAGAGGAAAGAAAGATGTCTTCTAATGTCTTGTAACCACATACCACTTCCCCCAAATTCCCCTATCTCATCTTCGAAATGAGCTTATTTTGGTTTCTCACAAACATTCAAAGCTTCCAAAGAGAGAAAGAAAAAGAATAAACAACATCCAAAACTATATTTACTTTTCACTCTTTATATTTGTACCCATTCACTCTCTCTCTCTCACCATAGATTCCCATGTATTAAAGCCTAAACTTTCTTTTCGATCTGCATCTGAGCTGTATTGTAGAATCATTGATTTTTTTTGGTGGGTATGTGAGATTGAAGAAGTAGATGAAAAGTGCTTCTGTGGATTTTCGTCAATCTTGTGCTGTTGATGCAGAGGCTAGGGCTAGCCTCAAACATCAAACCTTATTACAAGATTTCCTTCAATTGGAGAAGGTTAGTTTTTTTTTCTTTTTCTTTCTATATTTTATTTTTTCCTTTTGGCTAATTTTTTATATGTTATTGATAAATCGGTATTATCTACAAATTATGTGTTCTTTTTTTTCTTTGGGCCTTTTGTTTCCCTCTTTTTTTTATAGGATATAGGCTTTAAAATTTTTTGTAACAAATCAAAATTTTTCCCAAAATTTAGAGAACAAAAATGCTAAACAAACATGTTTTGGGTGTTTTTGAAATTTTGAGAACAAAAAACTGTTTTGCAGAAGCTAACTAAACACGCCCTTATTATTTCAAGTTCCACACATAATATATGTCTTGACCTAAACTTAAAAACGAAATAATGAAAAATGAAAATATACACATAAGCATGAAATGAAAACAACATGAAATGAAATAACTAAATACACATAAGCATGAATGATATGAACAAAATTTGGTTTGGATACCGTACCGTCATGTGATGAAGAAGAAGCGAGGGAATGAACTGGGTCTGACGAAGGTGGGAGAATGAACTGATTGACGAAGAAGAAGCAGGAGATGGGTTTTTTCTGATTTTGATATGCTCAGGATAAAAACGGCGTCGTTTTTTTCTAATTTGTTTTTTCAAAAAAAAAAAATTCAAATAGGCCTTGAAAACAGTGGCGATTTATTAAACCGCATATGGTGCGGTGACCGCCTTACCGCATAGGAGCGGGACCTAATACTCTCCTCTATCTGTAATGGCGCTTCTGGACCAAAACAGATGTAGGAAGAAAACTAAAAAAAAGACAGAAAGATAGATAGATAGATTTCTAGAGAGAAGAGGAAAAAAAGATGTCTTCTAATGCCCTTCAACCACATACCACTTCTCCCAAATTCGCCTATCTCTTCTTCCATGCTGGCTTATTTCGGTTTTTTCAAAGCTTCCAAAGAGAGAAAGAGAGAGAATACCCAACATCCAAAACTCTATTTACTTTTCACTCTTTATATTTATACCCGTTTACTCTATCTCTCTCTCTCTCACCATAGATTCCTATATATCAAAGATTAAACTTTCTTTTCGATCTACGTCTGAGCTGTATTGCAGAATCGTTGATTTTTTTTTTGGTGGGTATGAGAGATTGAAGAAGATGATGAAAAGGGCTTCTGTGGATTTTCGTCAATCTTGTGCTGTTGATGAAGATACTAGGGCTAGACTCAAACATCAAACCTTATTATAAGAATTCCTTCAATTGCAGAATGTTAGTTTTTTTTTCTTTTTCTTTCAATATTTTATTTTTTCCTTTTGGCTATTTTTTTATATGTTATTGATAAATCTGTATTATCTGCAAATTATGTCTTCTTTTATTTCTTTGAGCCTTTTGTTTCCCTCTTTTTTTTTTTATAGGAAGCAGGGTTTATAATTTGTTATAACAAATCTCATTTTTTTCCAAAATTTAGAGAACAAAAATGCTAAACAAACAGGTTTTGGATGTTTTTGAAATTTTGAGAAAAAAAAAACTATTTTACAGAAGCTAACCAAACACGCCCTTATTATTTCATGTTCCACACATAATATATGTCTTGTCCTAAACTTAAAAACTTAAAAACAAAATAATGAAAAATGAAAATATACACATAAGCATGAAATAAAAACAGCATGAAATGGAAGAAATAAATACACATAAGCATGAATGATATGAACGAAATTTAGTTTCCATATCGTACCATCATTTGATGAAGAGGAAATGAGAGAATGAACTTATTGACGAAGAAGAAGCGGGACATGGGTTTTTTCTGATTTTGATATGCTCAGTATAAAATCGGCATCGTTTTTTTCTAGTTTTTTTTTTTAAAAAAAAATTGAAATAGGCCTAAAAAACAGTGGCGATTTATTAAACCCATATGGTGCGGTGACCGCCTTACCGCATAGGAGCCGGACCCAAAACTCTCCTCTATCTCTAATGGCCCATCTGGACCAAAATAGATGTAGGAAGGAAACTAAAAAAGAAGACGGAAAGATAGATAGATAGATTTCTAGATAAATTCCCCTATCTCTTCTTCCATATGGGCTTATTTCGGTTTCTCACAATCATTCAAAGCTTCCAGAGAGAGAAAGAGAAAGAATAAACAACATCCAAAACTATATTTACTTATCACTCTTTATATTTATACTCGTTTACTCTCTCTCTCCCTATCTCTCTCTCCATAGATTCCTATATATTAAAGCCTAAACTTTCTTTTTGATCTGCATTTGTGCTGTATTTTAGAATCATTGATTTTTTTTTTGGTGGGTATGAGAGATTGAAGAAGAAGATGCAAAGGGCTTCTGCGGATTTTCGTCAATCTTGTGTTGTTGATGAAGAGGCTAGGACTAAACTCAAACATCAAACCTTATTACAAGATTTCCTTCAATTGCAAAAGGTTAGTTTTTTTTTCTTTTTCTTTCTATATTTTATTTTTTCCTTTTGGCTAATTTTTTATATGTTATTGATAAATATGTATTATCTGAAAATTATGTGTTCTTTTTTTTTCTTTGGGCCTTTTGTTTCCCTCTTTTTTTATGGGATGTAGGGTTTAAAATTTGTTGTAACAAATCTCAATTTTTCCCAAAATTTAGAGAACAAAAATGCTAAACAAATAAGTTTTGAGTGTTTTTGAAATTTTGAGAATAAAAAACTATTTTGCAGAAGCTAACCAAACATGCCCTTATTATTTCAAGTTTCACACATAATATATGTCTTGACCTAAACTTAAAAACTTAAAAACGAAATAATGAAAAATGAAAATATACACATAAGCATGAAATGAAAACAACATGAAATGAAAGAACTAAATACACATAAGCATGAATGATATGAACAAAATTTGGTTTGGATACCGTATCGTCATGTGATGAAGAAGAAATGGGAGAATGAACTGGGTTTGACGAAGGAGAGAGAATGAACTGATTGACGAAGAAGAAGCGGGAGATGGATTTTTTCTGATTTTGATATGCTCAGTATAAAAACGGCATCGTTTTTTTCCAATTTTTTTTTTTTTAAAAAAATTCAAATAGGCCTTGAAAACGGTGGCGATTTATTAAACCGTATATGGTGCGGTGACAGCCTTACCGCATAGGAGCCAGACCTAAAACTCTCATCTATCTCTAATGGCCCATCTGGACCAAAACAGATGTAGGAAGAAAACTTAAAAAGAAGACAGAAAGATAGATAGATAGATTTCTAGAGAGAAGAGGAAAAAAGATGTCTTCTAATGCCCTTCAACCACATACCACTTCTCCCAAATTCCCTTNAAGACAGAAAGATAGATAGATAGATTTCTAGAGAGAAGAGGAAAAAAGATGTCTTCTAATGCCCTTCAACCACATACCGCTTCTCCCAAATTCCCTTATCTCTTCTTCCATATGGGCTTATTTCGGTTTCTCACAATCATTCAAAGCTTCCAAAGAGAGAAAGAGAGATAATGCACAACATCCAAAACTCTATTTACTTTTCATTCTTTATATTTATATCCGTTTACTCTCTCTCTCTCTCTCTTTCACCATAGATTCCTATATATCAAAGATTAAACTTTCTTTTCGATCTACGTCTGAGCTGTAAGAGTCATTGATTTTTTTTTTTTTTGGGTATGAGAGATTGAAGAAGATGATGAAAAGGGCTTTTGTGAATTTTCGTCAATCTTGTGCTGTTGATGAAGGGGCTAGGGCTAGACTCAAACATTAAACCTTATTACAATAATTCCTTCAATTGCAGAAGGTTAGTTTTTCTTTTTTTTTTTTTTATATTTTATTGTGTCTTTTTTGCTAATTTTTTATATGTTATTGATAAATCTATATTATCTGCAAATTATGTGTTTTTTTTTTTCTTTGGGCCTTTTTTTTCCCTTTTTTTTTTATAGGATGTAGGGTTTAAAATTTGTTGTAATTTTTTTTGTGCATCATGAACTCAAATTGGTAATATGTTTGTTTTAATTGCTAAACGTTTAGCTCAAAATCGTGGCTTTGAATCCCAGGACAACCCCTTGGTGCAAATTATTTGGTTAGATGTTTATACAATCTACCTCTCCCAATGTCCTTCATTAATGGGAATCAAACTTGGGAATGAACCTACCTTCCACATACCAACGATTTTGATGGTTTTTCGAGTATAAAAAATTAGGTTTTAGTGGTTTCTGTTGAGATTTTAATTTTACTAAGGCACCTATAAATTATTTTTGCTCTTACTCCTTTACAGGAATTTGTTTCTCAGAAAAGGAAATTGCCGATTCCAAAGCAAAAGAGAGATACCCTTTTGGCCGAAGTTCGGTACGATTTTCTTGTCTTCTCCATTTGAGTGAGCTTATGGATTCTTTGTCAAAAAGCATTAGTAATTAGGAGAAAAATTGATAAAGGGGATTGAATTTATGTTGAATTTCAGATTCTTGAGTTGGCGAACAAGATGTCAGTTGAAATATCAATCTCCCAAATTCCAACCAGTAAAAGATCCTGTTCATCGGCCAAATTTGGTTGTAACACGAAAAATGCATGAAAGAGAAGGAAATTGTAATGCCTATAAAGATGCATTGGAGAATCCATGCCCAGTTTGGGTTTCAATTACAAATAGGGTAATTGAATTATAATGAAAAGTTATAAAAATCCTTCAATTTGCCCTACATTTTTAATGTTTTATGATTGTTTTTGGTTTCTGGTGTTGTATTACAGAGAGATAAAGAGGAAGGAGAAGGGGAGGAGTAAGTATGTAGGCAGGCATTGAGAGTAGGAAAGAAACCTTAGAGTTACTTGCTTAACAACAAAAGAGTAGGCAAAGGAAAATGTCATGGCAAGATCCAGTGACGTTGAAGGTGTAAGTTTGTATATGTTTATATGGTATAGAAAATATTCTTTGTTAAGTTTCTCATTGGCATTACTATGACTCGACATTGTTATTATTTTTTTTTTCCTATTTTGATTATATTCTTTACTTTCTTTTTGCACCTCCCATCAGACCTTGCATGCAAGGAAGGTATACCTTATAAGTTCAACATAATGAAAATCTTGATATACATTACTCAGATAATAGCTTTGGCATTTGTTTTTTTAATTTCAGGATGAATTTATGATTACTCGGAGAGGAGATTACTGCCAATCTAATATTGATAAGAGTCCCTATGACCACAGCCTGATATTAGAGGAGAGGAGATTACTGGCTACCTACCTCGAGTTAGCAAAAGAGGAGGAACTGATTTATAAGCAAAAATCAAGGATCCTGTGGCTTAAAGAGGGTGACCAGAATACTAGTTTTTTTTTCAAATCTATGATTACTCGGAGAAGCGGGAAGAAGATCACCTCTATCACAAGAATGGATGGGACTCTTGCTAGTAGTGATAAAGAGGTCAAAACTGAAGCTATTGACTATTTTAAGCATCTCCTGGGTCAGTTGAGTCACACCATGCCTGACTGTGTGAGAATGAGATGTCTTGAATCTATCATACACAAGAAGATATCTGCTCAGCATTCTGGGAACATGGTAAGGGAGTTCTCCAGTGACAAACATGCCTTCTTCTCAATGAGTGACCATAAGGCTCCTGGGCCAGACGGTTTTAACCCATTGTTCTTCAAGAAGGCATGACCTATCATTGGTCAAGAGGTCATTGCTGCTGTCAAGGAGTTTTTCTCCAATGGCATGCTCCTCAAGGAACTTAACGCTACCATCATCACTCTGGTACCTAAGGTGCCTAATCCTACCTCTATGAATGATTTCAGACCCATCTCTTGCTGCAACACCATCTACAAGGCTATATCTAAGCTCATTGCATCTAGATTCAAGGAAGTGATTCCTCATGTTGTGGATCATAACCAAGCGGCCTTTATTCCTGGTAGAAGGATTGGTGATAACATCTTAATATCCCAGGAGCTGTTCAGGAACTACCACAGTAATCATGGTGCTGCAAGGTGTGCAATTAAGGTGGACTTGTGGAAAGCCTTTGATACTATCAACTGGAACTTCTTAATGGATACCCTTGAGGTTCTGGGGTTTCCCTTCTTGATCAGGAAATGGGTTTGGTAGTGTATCTCTTCTTCCATGTTCTCTGTTAATATTAATGGTGAGCTGGCTGGGTTCTTCCCTAGTTTGAGAGGTTTAAGGCAAGGTGACCCTATTTCCCCCTACCTCTTTGTGATTGCAATGGAGGTATTGTCCCTCACTATTAAACAGCATGTCTCCTCTTCCACTGCTTTCAAGTTTCATCGGAGATGCAAGGACATTAAACTCACCCACCTTATGTTTGCTGATGACATTTTGCTTTTCTGCCACGGGGATCCTTCTTCCACAAAGTCTTCAAAGACTCTTTGGACCATTTCCAAGCTATGTCTGGGCTGCAAGTCAACCAAGCTAAAAGTAGTCTCTTCATGAGTGCTATCAGTAATGAGCTTAAAGACCAAATTGTGCATCTTTTTGGCTTCCCCCTTGACCAGCTCCCTGTCAAGTACTTGGGCATTCCTCTGATATCCACTCGACTGAAATCTCTTCATTGTAATGAGCTCCTCATCAAAATCAAGCAGAGAATTAATTCTTGGATGAACAGATTTTTGTCCTTTGCTGGCCGATTGATCTTGATCCAGAGTGTTATTCACAGCATGCATACCTACTGGTCTGCCAATTTATTCTTGCCCCCACAAATTATTGATCGGGTTGAACAACTTATGAGGCATTTTTTATGGAGTGGGAACGACATGAGAAGCACCGGTGCTAAAGTTTCATGGGAGGATGTATGCAAACCTGAGGAGGAGGGTGGTTTGGGAATTAAAAGGATCAAAGACTGTAATGTTGCTATGATGCTGAGGTATATCTGGTTGCTCTTTACCGACAAACAAAACTTGTGGGTTAAATGGGTGCACTCTTACCACTTAAAAGGCAGAAGCTTCTGGAGCTCTTGGAACTGGTTATGCTTGCTCAAATTAAGGCCTTCTTCCAGGTCACTTATCAAGCACGAGATTGGTAATGGTCACAACACAATGTTATGGTATGATAATTGGCATCCTATGGGCCCCCTGGATTCTATTGTTGGCTTAAATGGTAGTGGGGATGCCCTGTTCAATTTAGATGCCCCTGTCAATAATATTATTCTCAACGATCAATGGCATTGGCCTATCCAATCTACCGCCCTCATGCTGTGCCTACATCCATGCCTACCTATCCCCCCAACTCTGCTCTTGAGGACACTGTTAAGTGGTCCCCTAATGGCAATAGGGGATTCAGTGCAAAGCCTGCCTGGGACCATATCAGAATTAGGGCTCCCATTGTTTGCTGGCATAAACTTGTCTGGTCAGTTCTTTCTATCCCTAAAACGGGTTTCATTCTTTGGCTTGCTGTTAGAAACAGACTCAGCACCCTTGACCGTATGCACTCCTTTGCTCCCCACTTGGGTGTATTCTCTATAGGTCCTCTCCTGAATCCCATGCCCATCTCTTCTTTGCTTGCCCTTATTCATCTAATGTATGGTCTACTGCCCTCTCACATGTTGGGGTGCTCTGGCAGCCTATGCCATGGAATGAACTGGTTATCTGGGCTGCACTTAATTGGAAAGNTACTTGTGTAAGACGAGGTCATGATGAATAGCCTAGTCTAGCCTAGGCTAATGACCTGTACGTCAATAGCCTATCCTGGAGTAGAGGAAGCGTCCAGGATGGGGTACCTCTCGGCACCGAGGAAAGGCTCATCTCGGGGACCGAGGGAGGTATGCCGACCGAGGTACATATCAGACCGAGGCCACGTGTCGGTTGTAAAATATACTGAATGTATAATCCTATATGACGAGTACCTCGGGGGAGAGGACCTGGTGCGCCGATGGTGCTTGATCTTAGCAAGTGTTTTAGTAAAGTCGAAGACACATGTCTTCATCATAAGGTTATTTCAGAAAAGTCTCATTAGTAACGTTCTTATTTTACAGCCTTTGAACCTCCCATCTTGCTGCTTTTCCTAGTGCCCTCCCCTGTGCTGGGTGTTTTATCTGGTGATGGTCGTTATCTACTGCTACATTGCATCTGCTCATTTGGGGGGATTCCATTGGTCTCCTGCTCTCTGTTCTTATCTATGAGGCTCTATTCTAGTCTTACCGCTGCTTTGATTTCCTACTGTGATTTTTCGGGTGGTGTTATTGTCACATATATTGCATTTTCTTCCTTGCTGATACTGGTTATAGTTGCTTGGGTTCACCTTTGCTTTATGGATTACTCTATTGGTGGATGTGAGATTCACTACTTCTGCTGCTTGTTTCTTATGCTACTGATGGTTTCTTTATTTTGGGTGGCTTGTATCTGCTCATACTTTCATGATATGGCTCTTTCATTCACCGAGGTCCATTCATCATCATCATCATNACTGATGGTTTCTTTATTTTGGGTGGCTTGTATCTGCTCATACTTTCATGATATGGTTCTTTCATTCACCGAGGTCCATTCATCATCATCATCATTGTCTACAATTGTAGCTGCTCTGGTTCTCTATGGCTACCTCTGTTCGCACTGTGGTCTATGGCTCTACTGGCTTTGCTTCGGCTGGATTATCTCTTGCTCTTGTGGTGGTCCTTCTAGGCAGAGTTGTTGTATCAGCCTCAGCATTCTCTTGGGTAGGCTTGGGATGATCCTCCCTGGGCTATCTTCCTCTTCTCTCTTGGTGACTTTTGGCCTTCTCTGATCGCCCTCCCTCACGTCTATCTCCTCCCTCTTGCGCTTCATGGTGGTTTGCTGGCCGGGCCTATATGCGTTTGCGTTGCTTTTTAGAGGGAGGTGTCTCTTCATCTTCCTGGTTCTATGCATCTGCTGCATGAATGGAGGTCTGGTTCATGCACTTTTTACTACACTGTCTTCTTGGGTTTGATCCCGGTGACTGCTGCTTGCCCTTCAGCTCTATGATGGCTCATGTTGTTCTGTTGATAGTGCATTGGTGTTGCTGTTTGAGCCTTTCCTATTTCCTCTCCCATGTGGTTGATGTTTTGGTTGTCCTTCTGCTCTGAAGCTCGCTGGTTACAAACAGCCCCCTGTTTTGTTTTGTTTATAACATTACCTTTTGTTTGCAATTCTGTGGGTGATACCCTTTTCACTTTATGGGCATCTCCTACAGAATTGTGTTTTCCTTGTTTCTATTTTGGGTTATGTGCCCCTACGTCTCCTTGTACTTGTGGGTGATTACCCTGTACATTTAGTTTATTGAATACATTTTACTTTCCGAAAAAACTTGTCAAGCAATGAATACGGTTTTCTGTGTGAATTGGCTTGTGTTAGACTTTTTGTTCTAAATTATTTGTCATTTAATCAAAATTTTCAGTGTTCATCTATGTGTGTGTGTGTGTGTTGATATGGATACTTATGTATATAATCACTACTATTTTTCGTTGTATTCATTTTCCCTCCCCCCTCACCACCTCTATTAGACAGTTCTTCGGAATACATGTTTATTAGATTACTAAGCACTTTCTGCTCTGTGAATTCATCAGTTTAATGCATATTCATTTCTCAATTTTAGTTACAAATTTGTCTTCAAGTCATNTTAGATTACTAAGCACTTTCTGCTCTGTGAATTCATCAGTTTAATGCATATTCATTTCTCAATTTTAGTTACAAATTTGTCTTCAAGTCATGGAAATCTTGATGTTTAATACAGTTAGTTCATGATGGTCTGTGAATCATCTGTTGAAATCCTATGACTGCTGTACTGGTGATGTTTACTCTATTTTCATTTGTGACCATTGTAGTCACCATTAGTTTGATGACCTTGTTTATTCAGTACATTTTGATTTCTCATGAAAATGGTCTATTGCTACTATTTCGGATCCTTTGAATTTGGACCAAAACACATGAGTGGAAGTACTTTCAGAGCTTGACTAGGATTTACTATGGCCTTTTAGTTCCTTATTTGACATTCTATGAGGGGTAGCACTAACGAAAAAATTGGTACCGTACTAAAAACTATTACTTTTGAAGGGAAAGTTACAAATGATTGAGATAATTTATGATCAATCATTAATAACTTGAATCAGTTATTACTCCTCCTGTGCGAGTTTTAATGAAAGATTGTAACTCACATGATCGATAACATTTTGGAATCAATTATATATTTAGAAGTTATAACTTACAACTCAGAAGTTATAACTTGACTTTAAACAATTATAAATTTTGATACAATACCGCGTTCGGTACTATAGTTTTCCCCCTTCTATGAGATGGAAATATTTGATATTGTCTGTTCAATCAGTGAACCTAAAATTTTTGCAGGTGTGATTTTCAATGGAATTTGCCACTTGTTGAATGAAAATCTTAGCTCAACTCCAAAAAAAATGCAGAAAAAAAAAAAGAAAGGAAGAATGGAAACCTTAACATTGAGTGCTTTGCTGTTAAAGAACTGTTTGCCTACTGTTGTTTCACACTTCTAAAGGAATCTGCTATTCTTTTAAACGTCTTGTTCTATGGTCTTGGTCATCTTTATATACTGTCATATTTATTGATGTACGTACAAAATGCAGGTGAAAATNTGCTATTCTTTTAAACGTCTTGTTCTATGGTCTTGGTCATCTTTATATACTGTCATATTTATTGATGTACGTACAAAATGCAGGTGAAAATGGGGAAATCACCACAAATTATTTACCTTGAAGTGTTGTCTGAAGGAGAATCACAAGTTCACAAGATAATGGCTGTCCTTGGATTCAGTGATGATAAAGCCAAAGAACTTAAGCTTTAATTTATGAACCTCGTTTTGTTGATGACTAATATAAGGAGGGAAATATGGGAGTTAGGGATCGATATGGTTATTTGCTTCAAATTGCTTCAATTGAGAGAAAGCATGTTAGTAAGAATGCAAGTGGCACTTCATTGTAAGTTATGTTTGTGTTTAGATGATCACACAATACTACATAAAAAACTACAAAGATTGTACCATTGAATAAATTCATTTTGAATGTGTTGGTTTTTGTACTTGAACATTGAATTGAGTGAAAACCTTTGTTATTGGCTGAATAAACCAATATTTCGATTAGCCTATTATTAGCAAGCATAAGTGAAAGTTTATCCATTAGAAGACCCAATGGATAACGATCGAGTTATAGAGTCTCCATGCGTATTTTTTCATAATGTGTTATAGTGGATTATTATATGATAAGAATAAAACTAAAAAAAATATAACGCATCATAGTTCACATGTAATGCATGTGTACACTAACTAGTATATAATATGAGTCAAGAACTAGGTTTTTAAATAAAGAACAGATAGATCTTGGGAGTAAAACATGTATTTTATTCAAGAAATGAATCATGTGTTCTAACAAACGTAAAAGTATTGTAGATCTATTATTTAAATTGTAATAAGGATGACAAAGATATAATTATAGCCCTAATCATCTATGAATGAATTTGATAAAGAACCCCTTTCTTGATTTACGAATAGATGATCCTAACATGGTTTGATGCCATTCCTATATGTTAATCAGTCAAGATCTCACTCGTTTTCTATTCTCCTGACTCACTTTNAATATGAGTCAAGAACTAGGTTTTTAAATAAAGAACAGATAGATCTTGGGAGTAAAACATGTATTTTATTCAAGAAATGAATCATGTGTTCTAACAAACGTAAAAGTATTGTAGATCTATTATTTAAATTGTAATAAGGATGACAAAGATATAATTATAGCCCTAATCATCTATGAATGAATTTGATAAAGAACCCCTTTCTTGATTTACGAATAGATGATCCTAACATGGTTTGATGCCATTCCTATATGTTAATCAGTCAAGATCTCACTCGTTTTCTATTCTCCTGACTCACTTTAGCCTTTTAGTGTTGAAAAATAGCTTAAACTAACCTAAAACATGTCTCTAGGGTTTATATAGGGTGAAAAACAATTCAGGAGGCGTGACTTGATCCTATAGGATTGTCCACGCACGTTCAAATGAAGAGTTTGATGTTCAAACGGGCTTTGCTCCTAGTATCTCATGTTTTTTGCTAAAAAATTCATCAGAAAGAGCATTTGAACGAATCCATGTGCGTTCGAATAGCTCTACTTTTTGCATGAACTTCCAAGGTAGTTTTGGCTTAATTAGAAGTCGATTCACAAAATTTTTATGAAATATATTTTTATAACTCTTGTTTTTTTTTTGGGGGGGAGGGGGGAAGGGGAGGGGGGAGTTAAACCCTTGATCTCAAAAAAGCAAAGTCTTGACAAGGTAAGGAGTACCATTGGACCAAAGGCCCGTTGATAACTCTTGAAGTCTAGTTTCTAATGCCCAACAATTAGATCAATTGGAGTTTGGAGTAAAGAGTTATGGGCAAATTACTGAGATAGTGTTAAATTCTTTCCTACTCTAATTCTTTCCAAAATACATTTTAACACCGAAATGCTCCTAAACTTCTGGGGGTTGTTTGATAAGAGGGTATGAGGAGGCTTGACAAGATGGGTTTGAGAAAAATAGTCCAAAGGACCTCCAAACCCCATGTTTGGATTGAAAATTCAATCCTAGGTTCCCAAAGCCAGCTTGTAGCAGGCCCGAATATCAGACATGTGATCATGAGTTTTGTCAAACCTAGGAGAAGGGTGAGTTTGGGAAAATGAGTTAAGGGGTTAAGGATGCAAAAGAAAATTGTACCCCTTAACATGGGTATGAATTAAATTGATCAAGGTAAAATAGTCATTTACAGGATAAATAGTTGTTAATAATTATGATATATCTATGACTCCTACATGTGTATGTGTTACATACCAAATATGGGTATCTACTAGATTCAATGTTGAATCTCTTCTTTGTAAAGAAGGGATTAAGTTTGAAAGGGTTTGGGGAAGTCAACCCAAACCCTCTTAAAAAATTCATCCAAACAAGCCCCTAATATATNTTCATCTTTGTAAAGAATGGATTAAGTTTGAAAGGGTTTGGGGAAGTCAACTCAAACCCTCTTAAAAAAATCCATCCAAACAAGCCCCTAATATATCCATATCACATCTTTGAAGGTTTCTCCACCTTTTGGATTCAATGGTGGCCTTATTTTAACCTAAAAATATTTAGAAACTTACTGATCCACCCTTCTTAAGACTAAATACCTCTGAAACTAATTTTTACCCTAAAGTCTATAGGCATAAAACCCGTATTTCATAATCAATCTTTCAACAATGCTTTGAAGCTTCTACCATCATTTAATTTATCTGAAGACGATAGTATCCTTATTTATAGTACGGTGTCTTACAATCACTTAATCACATCCTTTGTTTATATCCGAACTAAGTATGCCCATAGAGTGTAAATTAGAATTTATCCTTCCTTGTATAACACACCCACCATGCCAAGTCCTGTACAACAACTGTCACAANTACCATGCCAAGTCATGTACAACAACTGTCACAACTAAATCAGTAACCCACAAGCAAAGAGGTCGTCTATCTTCTACACCATATAACCCTTGTCATGTCTTGCAGTCTGTCTTTCTCCCTCTCCCTCTTCCTTTCTCTACCGAATCCAAATCCTCTAAGAAATACAAGAAACAAAGAAAACTGACTCTCTCTCTTTGCTCTCTAAAGCACAAAACTCTCCTCTATTTGGATCTCTAATGGCCCATCTAGACCAAAACATATGTAGGAAGACAACTTAAAAAGAAAAAAAGAAAGATAGATTTCTAGAGAGAAGAGGAAAAAAAGATGTCCTCTAATGTCCTTCAACCACATACACTTCCCGCAAATACCCCTATCTCTTCGGCTTATTTCGGTTTCTCACACTCATTTAAAGCTTCCAAAGAGAGAAAGAGAATACACAACAACCAGAACCCTATTTCTATTTCACTCTCTATATTTATACCCGTTTACTCTTCTCTCTCTCTCTCACCATAGATTCCTATATATTAAAGCTTAAACTTTCTTTTTGATCTGCATCCGAGCTTCATTGTAGAATTATTGATAATTTTTTGGTGGGTATGAGAGATTGAAGAAGATGATGAAAAGGACTTCTTCTGATTTTCGTCAATCTTGTGATGTTGATGAAGAGGCTAGGGCTAGACTCAAACATCAAACCTTGTTACAAGAGTTCCTGGAATTGCAGAAGGTTAGTTTTTTTTTTTTTTTTATTTCTTTATTTTATCTTTGCCTATTGACTAATTTTTTATATGTTAATTATAAATCTATATTATTTGCAAATTATGCGTTATTTTTCTTCTTTAGGTCTTTTGTTTCCCTTTTTTTATAGGATGTAGGGTTTAAAATTTGTTGTAATTGTTTTTGTGCATCATGGATTTAAATTGGTAATATGCTCTTTTTTTTTAATTACTAAACATTTAGTTCAAAATCGTGGCTTTGAATCATAAGACAACCACTTGGTGCAAATAATTCAGTTAGATGTTTGAGTATAAAAAAATAGGTTTTAATGGTTTCTATTGAGATTTTAATTTAACCAAGGCACCTATTAATTATTTTTGCTCTTACACTTTTACAGAGATTTGTTTCTCAGAAAAGGAAATTGCAGACTGCAAAGCAAAAGAGAGATACCCTTTTGGTCGAAGTCCGGTATGATTTTCATGTCTTCTCAATTTGAGTGAGCTTGTGGGATTCTTTGTCAAAAAACACCAGTAATTAGGAGAAAAACTGATAAAGATGATTCAATTTATGTTGAATTTCAGATTCTTGTGTCGGCGAACAAGATATCTATTGAAATATCAATCTCCCAAATTTGAACCAGTAAAAGATCCCGTTCATCCACCAAATTTGGTTATAACACAAAAAACGCTTGAAAGAGAAGGAAATTGTAATGCCTTTGAAGATGCATTGGAGAATCCATGCCCAGTTTGGGTTTCAAATCCAAATAGGGTAATTGAATTATAATGAAAAGATATAAAAAGCCTTCGATTTTTAATGCCCTACGTTTTTAATGTTTTATGATTGTGTTTGGTTTCTGGTGTTGTATTACAGAGAGATAAAGAGGAAGGAAAAGGGGAGGAACAAGTATGTAAGCAGGCATTGAGAGTAGGAAAGAAACCTCAGAGTTACTTGCTTAACAACAAAAGAGTAGGCCAAAAAAAATATCATGGCAAGAGCCAGTGACGTTGAAGGTGTAAGTTTCTGTATGTTTAAATGGTCCAAAAAATATTCTTTGTTAAGTGTCTCATTGGCATTACTATGTCTGGACATTGGTCTTATTTTTTTTTTCCTATTTGATTATATTCTTTTCTTTCTTTTTGCACCTCCCATCAGCCTTTGCATGTAAGGAAGGTATACCTTACAAGATCAGCATAAATGAAAATCTTGACATACATTACTCAAATAATAGTTTTGGCATTTGTTTTGTCAATTCCAAGATGAATGCTTCTTTTTCTGTTAGCCAACTTGTCAAGCAATGAATTCATTTTTCTGTGGATTGGCTTGTGTTGGATATTTGTCTTTCGATACGTATACGTATGTGCATAATCACTACTATTTTTTGAGGTATTCTATCACCCTTCCCCCTCACCACTTCTATTAGACAGTTCTTCGGAATACATGTTTGTTAGATGACTAAGCACTTTCTGCTATGTGAATTGATCTGTTTAGTGCATATTCATTTCTCAATTTGAGTTATAAATGCCAGGTGCGAAGAACCCCGGAGGTGTTCGCAATTTATCTTCAAGTCATGGAAATCTTGATGGTTAATACAGTTAGTTCATGGTGGTCTGTGAATCATCTGTTGAAATCCTATGACTGTTATACTGGTGATGTTTAGTCTTTTTGATTAGTGACAATTGTAGTCACCATTAGTTTGATGACCTTGTCTATTCAGTACATTTTGATGTTTCATGAAAATGGCCTATTGCTACTATTTCGGATCCTTTGAATTGGGCTAAAACACATAATAAAAATGGCCTTTTAGGGTTAATAGCATTTATTGAAAAAGGTGTATGTGTTTTTTTTCTGTCGTCGTTAACAATAGAGTAAAGAGTTTGTTTGACTATCTATTTTAACTTGTGTAAATAGAGATTTTATTGGAACTTGGTATTTTTTTGCAATTGATCCTCTAAAATAGATAATTGAGTGGGAGAAAAAAATCTATTAGAGGTGCTTTAAGAGTTCAATCCCCTAACAAATGCAAGGAAAATCAATTATCATTGTATGTTTGGAAGGAGAGAAAAGTGAGAAGAAATCTAAGATAAAAATAATTTTAGAATTCAAAACTGAAAATAATTGTAGTAATAGCTAGTAAATGACAATAAATAAGTTCAAGACTTCATGGAGAAATATTTGTTTTCCTCTTTGTATGTTTTTATGTCTCCCCTGTTTTGTCTGGTCACATTTTGGGATCCATGTGGTGCTCCTTGTCTGCGTCCTATGTTGCTTTGTTTTCATGCTATATTGGTGGTCTTTGCTGGTTATTCTTGCCTCCCTACCCATTTGCTGGTTGGGGATGTTATTATGCCTACATTTGGATGCTGGTTTGTGGTTGCTGGTTTTGCACTTGGCTTGTTTACGAATGGAGGGTTGTGTTGCCCATGTTTTCTTGAACCTGGTTGTTTTATTAGGGGCAGTGATGAGGGTTCTGATCAGTTTTTGTGCTTATTGGATTTTGAAGCCTTGAATTTTTTCCTTACATTCAATGTGGTTCATACATCTAATGCTTACAACATGCTTCAGAAAAGTAAATTTCACTATGGCATTCCACTGGGACAGTAATGTGGATTATGTCTCTGTTTTGCTATGTTTCCTCTGGCTCCTGTGGTGGACCTTCAAGACAGAGCTGCTGTAGCAGACGCAGCATTCTCATGGGAAAGCTTGAGACTATTTTTCCTGGCCTATCTTCTCTACTCTTCTTCCTGACTTTTGGCCTTTGTTGGTCGCTCTTTCTCACTTCAACCTCGTCCCTTTTGCGTTTCATGGTGCTGCTCTGTTGGCTTCTTTACCGTGTATATGTGTTGCTTTTATGGAAGATGGATGACTCTTCCTCTCTTGGTTCCCTAAATCTGCCTTTGTTGGAGGGGGATCCCTGCTGTTTTGTTCCCCGATGCAGCCTCTTATGTTGACTATTGATTGGCTTGCTGAGCTGCATTGGGGTGATTTACTACTTATTTGAAGCCTCTTCAGTTACTTTGCAACTGGGTTTTTTGACCCAATTGGTTCATTTCTTCTGGATTGCATCTGGACTTCCACAACAACTGTCTTCTCACCTGTTTCTTGCTTTAGCTGGAGTCTCTCTTGCTGATGGTTCTTTGGAAATTTTCGGCTGCTTTTTTTGTTTTGTTTCCACTGTATACTTTTATCAACAATTCTGTGGGGGATACCTTTAATCAGGGCATCTCTTATAAACTTGTGTTTTGGGGCTTTGGTTTTTTGGGTTTGTTATTTGACTTCAAGTCTTACGGGACTCACTGTACATTTTGAGTGTTTCCCTTGCATACTTGGTTCTCTATTAATACATTTTACTTTCCGAAAAAAAAATGTTTTTATGTCTCTAGGTTGAACCAAACAAGGAAGGAAGGAAGGAAATTAAATGTTTTTCTTTTCTTTTCCTTTCCTTTCCTTTCCTTTTATTTCCTTCCTCCAAAAGAGGGGCAAGTTTGATAAAGAAACATTTATTATAATATGTATGACATTTGTATTAACTACAAGTGCTCCAACTCCTACGGATAGCTGAGAAGTGTGAGTTTGGATTTGTAACGAACTGGAAATTCAAACGTTTAGATTTTAATCTGCAATGGTGACTCCATGGTTTAGCAGATACTTGTGATTAATGGGGAAATAATGAGTATCTGGATTTTATTCTACAAAGGTGATTCAATTTAACTCTGCCTTGGAATGGTTCCTCGTCATAAAAAATAAAAAAAAAGGAAAAATTTTGGTCTCATCTTTTCTAGTTTATCATATTTTCAAAGATATTCATTATATTTTCTGAATTTTCACTGACACCGCTGTCAGATTAAAAGTCTTAACTGGAGTATAATTTTACTAAATTATTCATTATATATTTTATGAAAAATTTTATTCACGCACTCTCTAGATAGACATATATTCAATAAGACTCATCTGTTTTATGAATTTTTTTATATATTAAAAGTCGAGCCTATTAAAATTTTATTCGAGCCGATTAAAATTCGTTTTTAATCAGCCCAAATTTTGATATGTAAAAAAATATAAATTTTAATCGATTTAAATTTTAATATATAAAAAATAAATTTTAGTTAATCTAAATTGTTTTTGTGTGCTTGCATGAGTGATAAATTTCTTATCTCTGTAATTTCGGCTATTGCATTTATTTTTCAATATCTTTTGTTGATTAATTTCAATACAATATTTTGGATGAATCAAATATAGTTGTGGTCGATTTTTTAAAATGTGTTTACAGTGTAACACAAAAAATTTTATTTTTACAATAACTAACTAGTTATAATTTTTAATTCAATATTAAAGTGGTAACCAAAAATTGTCAAGCCAAATAACAGATAGATTTGGATATGATTCAACAGTAATATGGTAAATTAATAAAAAAAAAATTGGTTTCTCTATGGGGTCCACAATATCATAAATTACTATCCAAATCAAGGATTGAATTTCAAATTTTTTAATCCAACATTGTAGCCTGCTCATTGGGATTTCATTGGATAAGTTTAGGATTTAAATCCAAACCAATCCAATCCACCGGATCATTGCCAAACACCCCCCAAGTGATCTCACTTGATCGCAAAAAGGATAAAGTAAAATAAAATAATAAAATATAAAAAACTTTACAAGTATCTCAATATAATTAATAGGAAATAAGAGGTACGTCACCACAACTTGAACCCTTTTTTTAAAACATCATTTATTAATCACTAATACTAGTGGAACATAATTTGGAGATATAATGAGTTGTCACCAATGAAATGATAGTAAAATGTATTCAATGATGGGTCTCATTATAACATTAANAATTTGTCACCAATGAAATGATATTGAAATGTATTTAATGATGGGTCTCATTATAGCATTAAATGAATTTATTATCATATCATTGGTGACAACTCATTATGTCCCCAAATTATGTCCATAAATTATGTGTCAATAGCATTGCTCTTGACAAATCATAGTTCTAGTAGTTCTATAACATTTGGAACTACCATGTTAGAGCAAGAAACATATCAAACATAAAATGGCTGTCTGAAGCTGCTGGCATATTGAAAAGAGATTGTGCTGCCAACGGCGACGGGATTCCCCCCATTGACGAGGCAGTCGTTATGGTCAAGGCATCTGAAGATATTAGGATTAACGAGCGTCGCAGAACGGAACGAACCGCAGTTGACATGGACATTAGCAATGGCTGCAGTGCCAGCATTGGTGATGTTCACTTTGTATATATATTGGTATTCCATTTTGTAGGGCTCCTATTGATCTTTGTGTTACAGTGATGTCACTCGTCTGACACTGAACTATTTGATCTGCATTATACTTTGCTGCCCATAAAACAATTAACAAGTTAGGTATGGCTTGGTAACATGTTTTATTTTATGTAGATGGTATTCGTTTTTGTGTTGTTATTCTCTCTGTCTATCCTTAAGGGCATGTAGCATCTCACATATATTATTTTTGCAAAATGCTAGTTTTATGTGTTTTGCATTTTGAGGAAACATTTTTAAAAAATTAATGAAATGATCGTTGGCAAACGATACATTAGTTTCTGATTACCATCTCACTCGATTAGCATAGCAGTTCAATAGAATAATCCAATGATATAGATAGATATAATAGAGCCAACAAGACTTCAGAAAAGAAAAGAGAAATGTTGAAGCTGAAGTGGAGCAAGAAAATGAACAGAAAATATTACCAGAAGCAAGCAATAGACCTGCCAGAATCATGGCTATAACCATACTGGTTCGGCTACTAGACATTCTTCTCGCCATTGTCCAATGGACACACCAAGAAATCTTAGTGTAACGTTAATCTCTCTCTCTCTCTTCCTCTCTCTCTCTCTCTCTCTCACGCGCACGCACACACACAGAGACACACCACTCAGAGGAAAGTAGAATGAGTGACTGTGTTCGATATAATGTGTGAGTGACTGTGTTCGATATAATGTGTGAGTGACTGTGTTCGATATGAGGTAAGGATGTGAGTGTATTTATACCCCATTGGGATTTTTACTTATTACCAAAGGCTCAAATAGAAATTTCCATGTCTTATTTAATGATTAGTCAGTGATATTACTGAGATGATAGGCAATGCTACAAAATTCAAATGAAAATCAAAAAGTTACAATTTAAATGCATATCATTCATTGGATTAATGAGTTCCATCAATTTTTTCAGTACGACCCACTTATACCGNTGCAATACTACAAAATTCAAATGAAATTCAAAAAGTTACAATTTAAATGCATATCATTCATTGGATGAATGGGTTCCATCAATTTTTTCAGTACGATCAACTTATACCGCACTTATCCAATGAATAATATACATTTGAGTTTTAATTTTTAGATTTTATTTAAGTTATATAGCATTTTTCTATATAGAAACCTATAAAACCAATCTTCAAACGGTACAATGACCGAAAATCTATACTACTTCTAAAAATCAACAAAAATGAAAAAAAAAATTGTTTTGATTAAAATAACCTTCACAAAATAGTTATTGTCTGTCATATTTTTTTGATGTTAATAGCATTATTAAATTATATGTAATCTATGTATA